TCTAGTACAAATAGATGTAGCATGCAGTGGACAGTTTCTGTAAATGGCTTTCTTTAATCAAGACTTCAGCATACATATTTTTTTCAGTCTATAAGGTACATCTCTACCCTACCTTCTTCCTTTTGCACAGTTTCCCTCCCTACTGCTAAGAAATTACTATCACTCATGGAAGGACTATCTTCAGTTCTAGGTTTGGGGGTATTTTCAGGTATAAATTGTGTATTTTTTGTTCGCTGGTTGATCACATCAGATCCTATTTTCCTTCCTGTCTCTGTGGTCTCCTAATAGGTAGCACTGTAACACCCTAGGGTAGATGCAAGTATGAGTCACTGATCTGTGGCAAGGTGGAAAGGTCCCTTGCTTAACTAGAAAGTTCTTTCTACCACTTTCTCTTATCTTTTGTTTTATTACTTCTGATCACCAAAGCTTGGACTGTTCACTGTGGCCTATCTAATTTGGTTATTTGGCAGATTCAAAAAGTTTCATAACTCTGAGAAGAGAATGAGGAAATCATTAAATCCTTCTGATGTTAATTTTAGTCCTGTTTTTTCACAGATAGCCTTCTAACATTTTTCTCTAATAAGAGAAAGGAGTACCAGGGGGTTTCACATAGGAGAAGACGCAACACAGCTTTGATCGTGACTACACATGGTGTTTATGCTGATCTGATTGCCAAATTAGCATACTACATGCAGATTATTTAAATGGCACTCATTTGATTTAAATGTGCTGGTCAGCCAGTGCATCATAGCAGTAGAATATCTTCCTGAGAGAATTTACTGAAGACCTCTTAAATAGCACAGTTGTCCAGTAAGACCTTTTCTGTGGGATGTCAAGCACTGAATAGTTGAGATGTAGTGGGAAAGCTACATATAGTACTTTTTTCTTTTAGCACAGAGAATGTCACAGTTCACTTTAAGAGCTAGTAGCTCATCAATTACTTGCATCAGATTTACTACACCAGCTTGTGCACTACCTATTGGAAATCTAATCCCTTCCCCATAAAGTTTTTTGGCTTGTTAAACATAACATTTGAAATTAATGTGCAACATTGGAGCTAAAGTAAGGTTCCTAGCATTTTCAAAAACATAGCCACTGAAATGGCAGGAATTCCTTTGGAGGTTCTTTATTAAACATGAGCCGTAACCCTGTGAAAGTACTTGTATTTTCCTTTAGACTATTCTGTCTGCTAACTTAAATTTCTGAAGAAGGGTTAAAAATACCCCAAGGCATCATGACTGAGTAACTTAAATAAAGGAATCTTGTTTTACTTGAGGAGGATCTGCATTGTATTATTAGAATTTAGAACTAAAATTCATTTGATCTTTGCAAAGGAAAATAAATGGTACAGTGAATTGGCTGTCAAGCTTTATTTAGATCATGAAGGATGTTGGCAGGCAGCAGTTCATTTGGTATAAATCATGTTTAAACTGGCATTAGAGGAGCCTGTTCAGGTTAATTGTGGGTTCCCTTGTCTTTTTCATAATGGAAAGGCAAAAAAAAAATGCACGCAGGAGGAATATTCTGAAAGTTGTGTGAAAAATGTTCATTATTCCAGTCTTGTAACTCTTTCACTGTTTATAGCTCTAGAGTGAAATTTGGAGGAGGAAAAAGCTAGTTAGTGTGGTACTTAAGCAGTCTCTATTATCATAGTGCTGGAGCTTGCAGCCATCTTTAATATATAAATCTTCAAGACAGAGAGGGTACCAGGTCCTTTTTTAAAGATGGAGATTTGAGGCCTAGGGTAATAGCCAGATACCTGATCATATACTAGGTGTTCAACTCCAACTGAAAAATCTTTGTGGAGCTGAGTCTCCATGACTTGCCCAAGGACATACAGAAGGCATGTGGCAGAACTCTGACTTGAACAGGATCTCCTGAGGCCGGTGCTGTAACACCAGTTTCACCATCTGTGTTTGTAAAATTTGAGTGTGTTTTAGATTTACTACATTCATTTTTCTTATGCCTCTAAAACCTCTGAACTGTTGCAGCACTCACAGTGCAGATCAGCCAAAGTCTGCACAAACACTGTGTTCCAGCAATTAGTATCTACTTTGTCATATATTTCTTTAAAAGATTGGGAAATGAATTTGGTTTGTTGATTTTTTTTTTTTCTTTTTTTTTTCCCCTTTGTAACCCAAATGTTAACACAACAACCTGTTACTTCCTTTTAACCAGACTTATGCACTGTTTTAAGTTAGTTAATAAAACTTTCCTCTAAAGACCTACAGTCATAACAAGTAAAGATTGTGTAAAAATTACCCAACCCGGTCATGTAATTATGATTTATGATCTCAAAGTGAAAACTGTCAAGGAAAACATGTCAGATATTGGTAACCAGCATAATCTCAAAGGAAAAAAATGTACTGTGCCTTCTGTCACGTTCACAATCTTACATACAGATCGTACACTTTCTTATATTTTAGTATTTGCTTGCTTGATTTTTTTTTTTTTTTTTTAACAGGAGAGCCTGAAAAGGAACTTAATCCCAAGAAAAAGATCTGGGAGCAGATTCAACCTGACCTTCATACTAATGATCAATACATTGCTACATACAAAGGAGTTCCATTTGAAGTGAAGGGGAAAGGGGTCTGTAGGGCTCAGACCATGGCCAACAGTGGAATCAAATAAATAAAGCCAATTGCTGAAACCTTTTCAGTGGTTTGAAGGAAAGCTATGTGAACACAATAAAAATGTGAATATATTCCCTGTGAAGGCATGACTGGTTAATTTTTTTTCTTTGACCTCTTCTCAAAGATATTCAGATATGTACCTGTAGCAGTGTTAGAAGTTACCTTTTTCTGTCTCCTTGAAATTGATAGATTCGTACAGTAATGTCAGCAGTTGCAGGCAACCCCCACTTAATGCTGTTTCATTTAATACTATAACGCTCATTTGAAATTGATACCTGATTCACTTAGTGCTCAGCGAGTTTCATTATAACACATGCGGTCACCATCTTGGGTCATTAAAAACAATTGTGGTTGCCATCTTGGGTCATCAAATACTTTCTGTTTCACTTAACGCTCATTTTTCAGGAACCAATTAAGAATGCTAAGCAGGGGTTGCCTTGATTAGCTAGGCAGATACTTGGGTCTCAGTACTGAAGGCTATTCATCTGGCACAAGGGGTGCATAAGCCAGCTAACAAATTTTGAAGCTGGTGAGCTTACTGCTGAAGCAGATGGAAAAGTGTACTATGCTTTTAGACTTACAACCACTCTGGGAGTGGGGCCTTGGAGAGAGAGATTATTCTTTGTCCTTTTTGACATCATTCTCTGTCTGCTTTGCATAGAGTCTGTGCCCCTAACAGTGGGTAAGTGAAGTTCACTTCCTCAGCATGTACCCTGATCTTCTACAGCCTGTCTGTTGGTTATATTGCCCAACTCTGGGTAATCTCTGACTGAGTGCGAAGGTTTGAACAAGACAGACAAACTTTAAAAGCTTGCACACACAATTTCACTTTTGTAGATAAAATCAAAACCAGTGCATCTCTACCACTGTAGTTTTGGTCTTTAAAGCAAAGATTCTGTGTTGCTGGAGTTTTGTTCCTTAATTATTGAATTGATGCCTGAAAGCAAAAATAAGAGTGAACCCATTTTTATTTTCTAATGTCTCCATCAAATTTCTTTGGACATAGTAACATTTTATACAAAACACATACTTCACTGTAATAGGAATAGCTAATCATTTTTAATACTTTAGACTATGCTGTAATTCATCACGTTATGATGTTAAAACTAGCCTCAATTAATATGATAAACTTAAATTGATAGTTTTCAAAATTCCTGTCTTTTCATGGATTGACAACAACAAAACTAAAAGCAGTTCACAATTAAACTTTTAAATAACCCTCACTAACTGATTAGGTACATTTCTGTATGTTTTAAAATCTAGCATTTAATTAATTTGATGTCTACCATCTAACCACTTAAACAATAAAGTTAATTTCTCAGTCTCTCTGAATTTCCTAGGCTTTGAATTATCTAGTAAGCTGGAAAAACAGCAAAAGGACAAGGATATTAAATTAAAAGAAACGAATGCAAACAAGATGAACAGCTGGGTTTTTTTGGTTTTTTAAGATGTGTTTGTATATGTCTGTATACTGTAGAATAACCATGCTAATTTTGTATACATGTGGGAACAACCAGAAATAAGTAGTTCTTTTAAATGCACTGAAAAATCTTTAGCATTTGGGAGCCAACTATCTTATCAACTATATATCTAATGAGGTCTTATTAAACACACATTTTTGAGAAGTTCACACTATTTAATTTAATTTATTAGGAAACATTGAGAAATTTACATCAAGCAACTTTCAACATTCAGGATTTGAAAACTCCACAAACCATGGGCTTCAGAGGATTTTGTCTCTGTAAAGACTGCAGTTAAAAACAAAATGTAATAAATGCTTCTTCCACTAGTGTGCCACAGCCACTTTGGAGGTAGAATGTGGCAGCATGCCAGTGCATAGCAGCATGACAATAGTTTAGAGCATGCACAATCTTTATTTTTCTCAATCTTGCACTCCTTCTGAACTACAAGATAAACATGTTGTATAGTATATCTGTGACTAAGTACATAATGGCACAAAATTAAAAGCACTGTTTGTAACTCAACCTATTATCTGAGTGTGTCATGGCTTGTGGATACCATGGTTATAGGCATACTATAAATACTAATAATAATTACTTTTGTAGCCTAAACAGTTTATTTTATCTGTGGTAAAGAGGCATAAGCATTGGTCTGGACATGAAGACACCAGAAATATTCATAACTAGGTCTTCCCATTGAATTCTTTTCAATGCCTGAAGTTATTTCTTTTTGTCACTGCTTATCTAAATAGAAGTTACCTGGTAACTGTTTTGTCTTATAAAATCCATAATTTTCCTTAAGATTGTTACTCTTTTCTGTTTGAGTGCGTGTGCCTTGTCATCTACAAAAATATATTTGTGTTGTACTGAGCTCAAGAGTGTTAACAGGGTATCTGAGGCAGCATGCAAGTACTCCTCTTCACTAAATCCAGCCTCTTCTACCTTGTCTGTATGGGTAAGAAAGACTGCAGTAAAAGTCTTCCATGTGGGACCCAGAAGTTCCTGTAATGAAAAACAAACTTCAGATAGTTATCTTTCCATGTTCCCTCCACCTGTCAAAGAGAGAATAGTTATGTATTAACAGACCAATATTTGTTCCGTTTCTGGCAGAAAGCCATTCATGTAGATTGAGGCTACAGACGGAAGTTATATTTGTCGTGTGATCATCCCCTTGAAAGCATTCTACAGCTGCACCCTTACAAAAATGCACGGCTGCAGAGCTTTTTAAAAATCCATGATTGCGCAGCACATTAACCCTCATTATATGAGGGTTCAGATGAAGGCACTCCAAAGTGGGGTGCCTTCATTAACTTCTGCCTGATTGGGTGTCTGGGTTCAGTCTTGTGGGGGGAGAGGGGCCCCTTGGTCTACCCACCCCCACTCCAGCATAGATGTTTGGTGTTGGGTTGGGAGTGTAAGGGATCAAGCTCCACTTTGATGCTTGAGGGCAGAGCACAGTTGGGTGCTGGGGAGGGGGTTCTAGGGCCCTGATCCCAGTACCTGGGGTCAGACAGGGGCAGCTTTGGGTCCCAAATGCTCTAATCTTGATACATCTGGCTGGACTAGGCTGGCATGAGGTCCCAGGGCCCCAATCCCAACATGTGGGGCAGGGAGGGGGAGGAGAGGGAGCGTGCAGTCTGGATCCAGGTGTGCAGACTAAATCCTGGGGCGCAGGGTCCAATGTGGCCTGGCCTTGCACCTCATGGCCACTGTGTTAGATGATACTCACTTAGATTTGTGTTCACAAAAACTGTCCTTAATATTGCAACTAGTCTTTGGCTGGTTGGCATTTCATGGTTTATAATTAGCTGGATTCTATTTCTGCATGCATGTTGTGTTCAAAAGATGGCCAAAAATCAGGCTTCACATTTGACACCTCTGTTTTCTTATTTATTGCTTCTCTGCTTTCTTTTGCAAGTAGGATTCATGCAATCCCCCTCTGTGAGGATAATGGTTCCCGAGTTTGGATTGATACCTATTTTAAGAGGAGTTTAACTTGAATTCAGGTTGTTAAGAATCAGTATTCCAAACATTTGTTCTTTCTTTTAAAATTAAAGAATGAAAAATGCTATATATTGTATTTATTCAAATTTGAGAGAAGGTCCCCCCATATTCAACATGTAAGGGAATACAAGTTGGGGGAGGGGAGAAGTGGAAGGGGAAGCAGCTGTTGTGGGTTCGATTCTGGCCTCAAGCCCAGGTCAGGGCTGTAGTCAGAGCTGCAGCAGCCGCCTCCCCTCCAACACGTGCACACACATACCTGCCTCCACAGCCCTTGCCCATCTCCGTCTGACCCCTGCAGCATCTGACCCTCATCACTTATCATCAGTTGTGGTTCCAGCTGCTGTCCCAGGGTCAAGCTGCTACCTCTTGAACTACTGATTAGAAGAGGCTGCAGGTAGGGGGATAAAGGCTGCAGGGGGCAGGCAGGGAGACAGAGGCTGAAGTGGAGGGGCAGAGACTGCAGGGGCACAAGCACTGTGAACAGGGAAAGGCAGCAGAGGGTGTAGGTATGAGGGGGACAGGTGGCAGGGAGAGAAAGGGGTGATGACAGGAACAGACTGCTCCCTCTCCTGCTGCCTGCTTCCCTGTTGCTGCTTTACTTTCTGTGGCTGGGCAACCCTCCAATAAATATATACATTTTCTACATATAGAATCTGATCATTGGGGTGTCATCTTCAATTCAAAGTCATCTTGGATTCTGGTAAGTGGCATTTTATATGAAGGCATCCCTTCACTCAGCACTGATACAAGGTCACTTCTAACCATAATAGTTAAATTATATACACAAGAATCTTCAGCAATATCTACCTGTCTGATCTATCTATATTTATATTTAAAGATTAGTTAACTATTTTGGTGAGAGGAATATATATTTTTTCCTATTAAGTTTCTTAAACATGTACCCTTAATATCTTGACTACCACTGTTGAGTACCAGCTTCATTATAAGGCATGTCTCCATTTATGAACAATTTAGTTATATTATTTTGGGATACAATGGATCAAAATCCAGGGCAAGCTACAAAAACTGGTTATTGAGCGTCCTTGGTCAGGGGATCAGATCTTGCTGCAGAATGAGCTTTCAGGAGAGATAAAATTAACTCAGAATTTGATTGCTAGCCGATCTTACTGTATGCCGTATTTACCTCTGACATGAAGTTTCCTCAGTAACCATCATGGCAATTGCTACTCTTACCCTCCAAAATAAAAAATTACACATGGAATTTCTTAAACTGAGACAAAGAAAAAGAATCCATGATCTTATGAAGTAATCTACTAGAATCCTTGTTATTCTGATTTAAATTTATGTGGCATAATATAAAAAAACTGGAAAGAGAAATTCTAAATACCATATTCTGATTATAAATTGATTCCACATTTTCAGATTCAATTTTAGGAAAAAAAACTGTTTAGGATCAACATAAAGATACCTGATAACTATAGGTAAATTCATTCCTTTACAAAATCCCAAAGAAGAATCAAAGGCAAGGAAACCACCAAGGAGAAAAAAGGGATGGGTTTGTATTATTATCTGAACTTTGTAAATCTCACCCTAGATTTCAGTGCTGCAAGTTAAACTGATATCGCTAATTTATTTGGCATAAGCCACTGACCATTTGCTAAATAAAAACTACTATCAACCTTGGCAGATTCATGCCAGAGCTAAATTAATAAGAGAGTGTTGATAAAATGTGATACATGTTCATGGTCTAACTAGGAGAACTGCCCACCTCCCAGCAGAAACTAGGGCCATGTCCACATGTGTGGCCATGCAGTATGTGGCACTGCAGACATGTCTTCAGCATTACATATACTGCAAGTTCAGTTATCTTCAGATGACTACAGGGATATCCAGAGTCAAAAAAAACCCACAGGAAAAAAAAAAAAAAGCTGTGCACGCAGCAGCAGTGGGTTCCACCCAAAGCGAGAGCCACACTGTGCTGCTAGCCAGGTTCTGTGCAGCAGGATCGCTGCCATGGCTGCAGCCTCGGGAGGCCCCCAGGATCCCAGGTAAGGCTGCTGGGGCCAGACCAGTACTGGCCCCAGCCTCCCCTAACCCACCCAGGGTAACTTGCTGCACACCAGAGCGTGCATGGTACAGGTGTTCCCTGGGGACAACTAGCAGCGGCACAAGGTGTACTGCTGCTACTTGTCCCTGGGGAACCAAGCATCCACACAAGTCTGGACATGGCCTAGGAGTGTATAAGCGTTCATTCAGTTTCTCCAAGAGGAAACATGCCCGCTCTAGGGGAAAGATATTCCAGGTTGACACCTCAAAGACGTCCCTAGAAAGAGATTCACAAGAATGAATACCTTTATGCTTCCTTTCCCGTCTGATCCAGGAGGAGAGTGGAACAGCTACCTGCTGTTCCCCAACTCCTCCCCAGACCAGGGACTGCAAGATGGGCAGTGCAGGCAGCAATTTCAAAGCTGGTGGAACTGGAAACTAGGCTTGGAGTGAGCATCAAACCTGGTTCCAGGTACCCTGGCTTCCCATTACTGCCTATGTTGCCCTGCTAGGTGGCATGGGTGGCTATTTTAAATATTATGGGGCTGGGGAAGTTCTCTCTGTCTCTCTTCCCAGTCCTGCAAGCTTTGAATGATGTATGACCCCCCAACTTGGGCCTCACATGTGATGATTTTTAAAACTAGAAATCTGAGAACCGTGGTCAGAGAGCCTCTGATTCCCCAAGCCTCTGGCTTTAAATCATCCCTTTAACTCACTCTTTAAATAATAATTTTTTAAATCAGTGATTTAAAAGTTCAGGGGTCTACCTATTGACACCTTACAGCTTGTCCTCTACCCTGCCTGGAAAGGTGCTAGTGGGCTCCCCTAAGGGTTGGCCCAAGGAACAGCCCTTTAGTGCCCCCTTCCTGAAGAGCCCCTAGAGAAATTCTCACCACTAGAAATGAATGCCTGTCTGTAACTTTAGAAATATTAGAGATTTTTGGCAAATCTGTATTTCTCAACTATTGTGATATATAATCTATTGTTATCACAAGTTAGGAAATCTCCCAGCATTTGTGCAACTGTGTAGCCTTAATATGGACAATAACACTTGTCTAATTTCAGCTGCATACACATGTTCAAATGATCTGGGATAATTGTTCTAGCTTTGTTTTTCTAGTTTAAAAACTTACCCAGAGACCCCTGAATAATTATTTGAGTGCTGAGCCCCTGGAAAACAGAGAGCTTTTAGTGCTAATGCTGTATAGCCAGGGCCCACCCTGTAGACAACTCTGTGTACCTTGATGGCTTCCTCAGTCTGCCTAGAGACAGGGCTGTCCTGGACTATGATCATCTGATTGGCTGAGCCAAATTGCTCAGGGTCAGCCTGCATCTCCCTACAGAACTGCAATAAAGGCATGTTCTGCTCTCTGAGTGTAGTCAGTGACATAGTCTGCTGGAGGGAGGTGGGCGACTGTGCTATGGTTTTTCTTAGAAGGGAAGATGTACAAGCATTCACTCTCCAAGAAGTACCTCTCCCAGGGAGCAATTTAACTTGGATTGTTCTTGGGTTATTTTTCTCCCAGAGTGGCCATTTTTGCTCTGGGAGAAAAATCCTGAACATTTGTATCCTTGTGGCTTCTACTGGGAAAGCAGTGAATCTCCCAGGAGAAACTAAGTGTCTGTATGTGGCTAAGTCATTTTATGCTGGTCATTCAATCCCTTTTCTATATTGAAAGCTTTTAATGCCATGTGACTAAACATGTTAAAGAATCCAATAATCCTATTGGTGCATGTGGCAGGGGGCAATCTCTCACGGCCAGGTCTCATATCAGTCCACCTACCTGTCATTACAGGGCAACCCGCCCGATCTTGCCTGCCACAACTGTGTTGTTTGCAAAAAGTGATGGTAAAATGCGAGGGATTTCCTAGTACTGCCCTGATGCCAAAGGGTGTTATCTGCAGCTCCGTACCTCCCCTATACCACAGCCCATGCCTCACAGATGGCATCCAGATTAATGTTACTCCTGGTCTGAGACTGGAGCCAACTGAATCCAAAGCTGGGCTTCACACCCCCGCCCCCCCGCCCCAGAGGCCTCTTCCACTCTGCCCCTCTCTCACTGGGGCCTCTGACATACTGCCCATTACTGGGCCACACCCCACTGCCCTTGCTCCTCCTTGAGCAGCCCCTCTTGGGCCATCAGGCTTTGCTACTCCCATACTAGCCTCACCACACATGACCTTCAGTTCCCGTGAGTTCCCCTACTGTGCATGGTCCAGTCTTATGCCAGCCCCTGGGCTACTTCTGCCCTAAGCCTCTCACCAGGCACAACTTCTCACAGGGCTGGTCCTTGTGCTGTCCTTCAAGTTTACTCCCATTCATCCCTACTCAGCATGCATCCTTCAGGCCTACTCACACTTCAGCCCTACTCTGTGCAGGGCCTCCCAATGTTCTGCACACAACCCCCTCTGAGGTCTTCAGGACCTCATTTCTGCTGGGCTCAGGCACCTACATGTGAGCGTATCTGATCCCACTACTCCCCCAGCTGCCTCCAAAACCCACCCAAAGATGGGGGTTAGGGTTAAGGCACCCCTCCTTGCCTTTCATTGGGGTGGTAACTGGCTTGGCATTTCCTGGGGACCCCCATACCACCAGGAGCCCCACCAGGCCACCCATCCCCAGCAGGGTGCAGTTTTAAGTCATGCCCAGGACTCAGAGCCTCCTGCTCCTACCTGCAAGATATTCTATACAGCAGCTCAGCCAGGCAGTATTTTTACCTGCACTGCCAGCAGCAAACTGCTCTGTTTATATGGGCAACCAGTAGTTTAAAATGGCTGCCATAATCAAGCTCCTTCTGGCTGCTTGACTCAACCCTTAAAGTGGCAGGCACTACCAGTGTCCTGCCACAGTGCAATACCAGCATGCATTTCTGCCCCTGATATGACCTGCTTCTTCCATCAACTGCTAAATGAAAGGAAGGGATAGAAGGATTAACCCCAATTTCTTATTACAGCAACAACTCTGTTATCTGGCACCCCCGGGGAATGGGGGATGTCAGTTAATCAAATTTGCTGGTTAATCAAATTAACCACATCAGTGTCCTGGTGCACTACACATCCGTGCCAGTGTGCCAGGGGACAGGGAGGAGAGCCCTGCGCAGGCTGCTTTGCCCCAGGGCTGCGGTCCACAAGGAAGACTCACACTTGGCTCATGGCTTCTCCTGCATCCCTTGAAAGATTGACAGATGCCAGTTAGTGGAGCTTTCCGGTTGGTGAAGTGCTGCATAACACAGAATTTGCTGTACTCATTTGCTGCTCTGAGCAGACTGGAGGCAACATCAAATTTTTTTATATTGCTTTGTAAACATACAAATATTTTTAATATGAATAAAGGAGTACACTTTTCATTTTTCAGTATTCCTGTAACTGTAATTATGGCACATCCTGTGTAGGACCATAAGTCCATTTTACTCCCCTAATAATCAATCAACCCATGCTATGCTAATGTGAAGTTTAACACATAAATAAAATAAACATGTGGGTCTAATTGCTGGAATGCAGCCTCTGTATTCCATCATACTAAGCAAGAAAACTCTAATATATTGATATTGAAAAGTCAGGTTCTTTCCTATTTGTTACTTATAAAGTGGAGATTGTAAGAAAAATTCCAGAAGTAACTACTTCCAGCATGTAATGCACTTATTGTGCAGCATGCTTTGCATTCAGAGGAAGAGGAAAATATCTGCTAACAGTGCTGAGATGCATCTCAGTGTTAAAGCCTCTAGCCTTCCACTCAGTTCACTAGACCACAATGGCAAAATAAAAAATCCAAAAAGAAATGTAGGTTATATGTAACAATTTAATAATGGACTGTCTTCATATGGTGAGGCTCTTTGCCATTTATCAAGAATAGGTCACGATTGCTGAAGGCTGTTCCTGGTTCCAGCATCATTTTGGAACAGGACATTGTAGTATAAACACAGAACACACACATTTTCCCAGGACGCAACCAGCTGTCCTGCCCTATTTGTTTGTGGTTGATGAAATCATAGCATCTGGTCTCTGAGAAAAGTAAATTCCCGCCCCCCCCAGCCAATCTTTACATCAGCAGAGAGGCACAGTTATAATCATGGAACAGAAGTGGCAGGTTTGAATTCAATTAAGAATGGGTGGTTAGGTCTTTTAGTTAATTTATTTCTTAATCTGGGGGTGTGCAACTCATTTGGCCCTGCGAACCAGATCTGAACCATGTGACTGGAAGACCGATCTCAAGCGGCAGGGCAGTGACTTGCAAGTAAAA